CACAGGGGAACACTGGGGTGACACGGGGAGGATGTAGGAGGACGCGAGGGGACACGGGGTGATGTGGACATGGGAGGACATGGGGATGTGGGGTGACACTGGGGTGACACTGGGGTGCCGTGGGGTGTCACAGACACGTGGGGTGACACTGGGGTGACACTGGGGTGACATGTGGGGGTCACACGTGGGGGTGACACGGGGAAGATGTGTGGAGGACACGAGGGGACATGGGGTCACGTGGACATGGGGGGACATGGGGAAGTGGGGGGACACGGGGATGTGGGGTGATATGTGGGGGTTATACAGGGAGGATGTGGGGTGACAGTGGGGTGCCATGGGGTGCCACATGGGGGTGCCACATGGGATGACACATGGGGATGTGGGGTGCCATGGGGTGCCGTGGTGTGACACGTGGGGGTGACACTGGGGTGACACAGGGAGGACGTGTGAGGACACGAGGGGACACGGGGTGATGTGGACATGGGAGGACACGGGGAAGTGGGGTGACACTGGGGTGTCACGGGGATGTGGGGTGCCATGGGGTGCCGTGGGGTCACACATGGGGGTCACATGTGGAGGTGACACAGGGAGGACATGGGAGGACACGAGGGGACACGGGGTGACGTGGGGATGGGAGGACACGGAGAAGTGGGGTGACACATGGGGATGTGGGGTGCCATGGGGATGTGGGGTCACACATGGGGGTCACATGTGGAGGTGACACAGGGAGGACATGGGAGGACACGAGGGGACACGGGGTGACGTGGGGATGGGAGGACACGGAGAAGTGGGGTGACACATGGGGATGTGGGGTGCCATGGGGATGTGGGGTCACACATGGGGGTCACATGTGGAGGTGACACAGGGAGGACATGGGAGGACACGAGGGGACACGGGGTGACGTGGGGATGGGAGGACACGGAGAAGTGGGGTGACACATGGGGATGTGGGGTGCCATGGGGATGTGGGGTCACACATGGGGGTCACATGTGGAGGTGACACAGGGAGGACATGGGAGGACACGAGGGGACACGGGGTGACGTGGGGATGGGAGGACACGGAGAAGTGGGGTGACACATGGGGATGTGGGGTGACACTGGGGTGACACTGGGGTGACACTGGGGTGACACTGGGGTGACACTGGGGTGACACTGGGGTGACACTGGGGTGACACTGGGGTGACACTGGGGTGACACTGGGGTGACACTGGGGTGACACTGGGGTGACACTGGGGTGACACTGGGGTGACACTGGGGTGACACTGGGGTGACACTGGGGTGACACTGGGGTGACACTGGGGTGACACTGGGGTGACACTGGGGTGACACTGGGGTGATATGTGGGGGTTATACAGGGAGGATGTGGGGTGACAGTGGGGTGACAGGGGGGTGACATGGGGGGGGGACATGTGGGGACACGGGGAGGACACGAGGGGACATGGGGTGATGTGGACATGAGAGGACACGGGGAAGTGGGGTGACACGAGGATGTGGGGTGCCACGGGGTGTCACGGGATGCCATGGGGTCACGGGGATGTGGGGTGACACTGGGGTGACACTGGGGTGATATGTGGGGGTCACACGTGGAGGTGACACAGGGAAGATGTAGAAGGAAACGAGGGGACACGGGGTGACGTGGAGATGGGAGGACACAGGGAAGTGGGGTGACAGGAGGGTGACATGGGGTGACAGTGGGGTGACATGAGATGACACAGAGAGGATGTGGGAGGACACGAGGGGGCACGGGGTGACGTGGACATGGGAGGACACGGGGAAGTGGGATGACATGGGGTGTCACGGGGATGTGGGGTGCCATGGGGTGTCATGGGGTGTCACGGGGTGTCATGGGGTGCCATGGGGTGCCACATGGGGTCACACATGGGGGTCACACGTGGGGGTGACACAGGGAGGATGTGGGAGGACACGAGGGGACACGGGGTGACATGGACGTGGGAGGACACAGGGAAGTGGGGTGTCATGGGGATGTGGGGTGCCATGGGATGCCATGGGGTGCCACAGGGATGTGGGGTGACTCTGGGGTGACACATGGGGGTCACACATGGGGGTGACACATGGAGACATGGGGAGGACGTGGACATGGGAGGACACGGGGTGACATGGGGATGTGGGGTGCCATGGGATGCCATGGGGTGTCACAGGGATGTGGGGTGACTCTGGGGTGACACATGGGGGTCACACATGGGGGTGACACATGGAGACATGGGGAGGACGTGGACATGGGAGGACACAGGGAACTGGGGTGACACAGGGGTGACATGGGGTGACACATGGGGCAACATGGGGATGTGGGGTGCCGTGGGGTGCCGTGGGGTGCCATGGGGTGCCGTGGGGTGCCATGGGGTGCCACATGGGGGTCACACATGGAGGTGACAAGGGGAGGATGTAGGACACAAGGTGACATGGGGTGACGTGGACATGGGAGGACATGGGGAAGTGGGATGACACATGGGGATGTGGGGTGCCAGGGGGTGCCACATGGAGGTCACACATGGGGGTGACACGTTGGGGTGACATGGGGACGAGGTGAGAGGACACGAGGGAACATGGGGTGACGTGGGGGGACATGGAGGGACACGGGGTGACGTGGACATGGGAGGACACGGGGAAGTGGGGTGTCACAGGGGTGCCACTGGGGTGACATGTAGGGTGCCATGGGGATGTGGGGTGCCGTGGGGTGTCACGGGGTGCCATGGGGTGCCGTGGGGTGCCATGGGGTGCCATGGGGTGCCATGGGGTGCCACATGGGGGTCACACGTGGAGGTGACAAGGGGAGGATGTAGGACACAAGGTGACATGGGGTGACGTGGACATGGGAGGACATGGGGAAGTGGGATGACACATGGGGATGTGGGGTGCCAGGGGGTGCCACATGGAGGTCACACATGGGGGTGACACGTTGGGGTGACATGGGGACGAGGTGAGAGGACACGAGGGAACATGGGGTGACGTGGGGGGACATGGAGGGACACGGGGTGACGTGGACATGGGAGGACACGGGGAAGTGGGGTGTCACAGGGGTGCCACTGGGGTGACATGTAGGGTGCCATGGGGATGTGGGGTGCCGTGGGGTGTCACGGGGTGCCATGGGGTGCCGTGGGGTGCCATGGGGTGCCATGGGGTGCCATGGGGTGCCACATGGGGGTCACACGTGGAGGTGACAAGGGGAGGATGTAGGACACAAGGTGACATGGGGTGACGTGGACATGGGAGGACATGGGGAAGTGGGGTGACACATGGGGATGTGGGGTGCCAGGGGGATGTGGGGTGCCATGGGGTGCCGTGGGGTGTCACGGGGTGCCGTGGGGTGCCGTGGGGTGCCGTGGGGTGCCATGGGGTGTCACGGGGATGTGGGGGGACACTGGGGCGACACATGGGGACACAGAGAGAACATGGGAAGACACAAGGGGACATGGGGTGATGTGGACATGGGAGGACACGGGGAACTGGGGTGACACGGGGGTGCCATGGGGTGACAGGTGGGGTGCCATGGGGATGTGGGGTGCCATGGGGTGCCATGGGGTGCCATGGGGTGCCACATGGGGGTCACACGTGGAGGTGACAAGGGGAGGATGTAGGACACAAGGTGACACGGGGTGATGTGGACATGGGAGAACATGGGGAAGTGGGATGACACGGGGGTGTGGGGTGCCAGGGGGTGCCACATGGAGGTCACACATGGGGGTGACACGTTGGGGTGACATGGGGACGAGGTGAGAGGACACGAGGGAACATGGGGTGACGTGGGGGGACATGGAGGGACACGGGGTGACGTGGACATGGGAGGACACGGGGAAGTGGGGTGTCACAGGGGTGCCACTGGGGTGACATGTAGGGTGCCATGGGGATGTGGGGTGCCGTGGGGTGTCACGGGGTGCCATGGGGTGCCGTGGGGTGCCATGGGGTGCCATGGGGTGCCATGGGGTGCCACATGGGGGTCACACGTGGAGGTGACAAGGGGAGGATGTAGGACACAAGGTGACACGGGGTGATGTGGACATGGGAGGACATGCCATGGGGTGCCGTGGGGTGCCATGGGGTGCCGCATGGGGGTCACACGTGGAGGTGACACGGGGAGGATGTAGGACACAAGGTGACACGGGGTGATGTGGACATGGGAGGACATGCCATGGGGTGCCGTGGGGTGCCATGGGGTGCCGCATGGGGGTCACACGTGGAGGTGACACGGGGAGGATGTAGGACACAAGGTGACACGGGGTGATGTGGACATGGGAGGACATGCCATGGGGTGCCGTGGGGTGCCATGGGGTGCCGCATGGGGGTCACACGTGGAGGTGACACGGGGAGGATGTAGGACACAAGGTGACACGGGGTGATGTGGACATGGGAGGACATGCCATGGGGTGCCGTGGGGTGCCATGGGGTGCCGCATGGGGGTCACACGTGGAGGTGACACGGGGAGGATGTAGGACACAAGGTGACACGGGGTGATGTGGACATGGGAGGACATGCCATGGGGTGCCGTGGGGTGCCATGGGGTGCCGCATGGGGGTCACACGTGGAGGTGACACGGGGAGGATGTAGGACACAAGGTGACACGGGGTGATGTGGACATGGGAGGACATGCCATGGGGTGCCGTGGGGTGCCATGGGGTGCCGCATGGGGGTCACACGTGGAGGTGACACGGGGAGGATGTAGGACACAAGGTGACATGGGGTGATGTGGACATGGGAGGACACAGGAATGTGGGGTGCCATGGGGTGTCACGGGGATGTGGGGTGCCATGGGGTGCCATGGGGTGCCGTGGGGTGCCATGGGGTGCCGTGGGGTGCCGTGGGGTGTCACGGGGTGTCACCTTGTGGTATC